GCTTACAGTAAGCACTCGCCTCCTTGAATATAAAAAAGATGAACATTTGATGAAAATATAAAATTTGTTACTTTCTGATTTTATTCTTTAAACAGAAAAATGTCTGCTCTTATAAAGATGTCTGTTAGAAAAACGAACACATCGGAAGTATATATATGCCGATATATGTATCAACAATACAATCAAGAAACCGAACTATACCAAATAAAATAAAATAAATTAGAATTTAAATTCTATAATAGAGAAATAATTGGGGAATAGAGCACGAGCGGAATAGAGGAATGACAGAGGAATAAGAGAGGAATAGTCGGGGAATAGAGGAATAGCTATCTGTTTATATGTTTGATGATGATCATTTACGATGTTGCGGACAACGCCACATAATACAATCAAGTGCTTTGGCTTTCACTTCAGTAATACCAATACATTTTGTATGAACGAAACTAATACATTTATTGGATGTGCAAGCTAGAATTTCATTGGCTTTTCGTAGACTGCACATGATACATTTATTGACCATTTTACAATCGAAAATCTGATACTGCGTGCCGATATTTTTTTTTTCGTTTTTTGTTATTAGCACTTCCACACTCGCGTTAACATCATCGTCTGGTCCGTCGACATAAAATTGATCATCTTCACGTCGGAAAACAAAAGTGGCTTCAATGCCTGTTATATCACTAAATTCTTGAATCTACAAAGGTAGACGGAAGAAAACCAATGAAAACTCTGTTAAAAAGCGATGTTACACTCACTTTTTTTAACAAAGTCTGGTGACGCTTATATTTACTCTGAGCACGCTTCAATTTATCAGACTTGAATTTTGTAACGATTGGATCCGTATGGTGTTTTTGCATTGATGTTTTGGGAAGCATAATTGAATCAAGTGAATTATTGATAGTTATAAGAAGACGAAGAAGAAAAGAAATTTACAAATGTACGATGGATGTAAGTGTGTGTGTTAACGACCTTGTCTTCTATCTTTTATGGCTATACTGTTCTCACATGTGAAGGATGAATAATAGAAGAAATCTATTTACGTCTGTTAAACAGATATATGTGTCTCTTCGATCAGCTGGAGAAAACAAAAGACACTACTAGGAACATTAGAGAGGGGGAATAAAGAAGAAGGAGAAGAATATTCAGCTCTCATATAATTAAAATTTATCATTTTCTTGCAAATTAAAAATTAAAATTCTTGATGTCCTGCTTGGAATATAGATTTTCTTGATATCCCAATCGAGATATCGAATTATATCCTGATCGGGATATAATTTCAAACTATATGATGGGATATAAAAAAAATTTTGCTGCAAAAAATGATATCCCGATCGGGATATATATCCCGATTGGGAGTACATCCGGATCGGGATATGTCTCCACACTGCCTGTGAAGAAACATGGATTTGTTCAGGAGAAAAGATGAAGTTCTTGCAAAGAAGCATGGATTTCTCCAGGAAGGAACATGAAGTACTTGTCAAAAAACATGGAATACTTCAGGAGGAAACATGAAGCTCTTCCGATGAATGATGGATTTCTTCAGGAGAAAACAAGAAGTTCTTGTGAAGAAACATGAATTTCTTCAGGAGAAAAGAAGTAATTCGCATGCAGGAACCTTGATTACTTCAGGACAAGCCATGAAGTTCTTGTGTAGAACGTAGATTTTTATTTGTAGAAACATGGATTTCGTCAGGAGAAAATATGAAGTTCTTTTGTAGTTCAGCACGAAACATGAAGTTCAGTATGAGAAACATGAAGTTCTTGTCAAGACTTCGTATTTTTTTGAGTCATTGCTCGAACTTGCCTTCTTGTTATATAGCCAGCGCCAGAACTACATATGACTGCTGCCCAAGGACCCAACAGAGAAGCACAAACTGCTCCACCTACTACCGCCATCACAGTACCACAACCACCTGTTAATCCTTCCTCCAGAACGCATTGATTTTGGTCATCGCCACCTTTTAGCATCTATACATGTTATAAAATGTCAACAGGGCACCCGAGGCAATACCACCGACAGTAGCATTCTCAGACAAGAAAGTAGCTCCACTACCTACCGCACCTGACACTCCGTGCACAGCTGCGGTTTTAGCTGCTGTCATCAGTTCTTCCTGAGTAATCTTACGGTTTCTTATAGCCGTTAAAATAGAATCACTGAACACCAGAGATATACCTGCATTCACTAATCCACTTGTCAAAGCCGCCTTCACAGCTGTTGATCCTATGTCCATACGGAACTTGTTAAAAGATCGTTCTGTATTTGAAAGGAACTTCTGAACCTCTTCATTATCGAATGGTTTACTACTGATACCGTCATATTTGATATTTTCGCTCCATTTCCCGCCACTCATACCTTTAGGAGCAACCTTTTGATTCACTTGACTATACTTAGGACTTCCGAGCATTTTTACATTAGTCTCGCTACCATACTTTAGTTGCACGGTAGATAAACTATTTTTATCGTTTCCAGATGTATCTTTCAATATTATATCGTTAGCTGAATCAGCATATTTGGCCAGAGAAGCTCTAATGGGTGAATCTTTTGTGATGAAATCCAGATTGAACGTCATTGCATGAAGTCTTTCAGCAGTGATGCCAATCTTTTGTCGTATTCCCCACTTTGTGCTTTTAATCCGTTCAATAGCCTCAATAGTTGTTTTTATTAATGTTCGACTTTCTTGAATTTTCTGCAGAACATTGGTGTCTCTGATTGAAGAGGCATTGGTCGTAAGGCTATCAATCAGTTGCTTTGATTTCTTCTTTTGGCCTTCTTCGTCAAAATCTCTCGTTGATGTTTCCATTACAAACACTAGGATAATTTTGGCTCTTTATTTGATGTACTATTGTAGATGAATGACTTCTAAAAAGTGAAGCATATCGAAGTTTGACATAAGTTCTCAAACGTGTCACAATTAATCTTTCGAGAATAGTGGCGATGACAGCCACATAGAGTCTAAAAATGTGTCTCAATTCAAAACGCATAGATATAGTTTTAGTTTCGGAAGTCAGTTAAAATTCAATCGTGAATTGATATAACCCAACACCGGTATCTCTGTTTCAACCCACCACCTTCTGTTAGCAACCAAGCCTTAAAATCCTAGGCAACCTCGGGCGAACCAAGCAAACTTATCTATAAAGTGCTTATTTGTGCTACACTAGTTTTGATCATTGCAATAATCATCACTGTGCTTGTTTTGGCTGCTGTGTTTGAGTTTAGAAGAGGTACAGGAAATCTTTAAAATTCTAACTTTGTTTTCATTTCCAAATGCGGTCGCACCATCTATAACCTGATAATAAAATGACCTCTTGAGTCCAAACTTGCGCTGTGTTTTTGCGGAAATTTTCGTGTCTCTAAGTCAAGCCATTAGAAAATAGCACACTCGACATTAAACGCTAATTGATCCTAATTCACCAAAAAAATGGCATTTGTTTTTAAAATTGATTATCTCAGTAACTACTTGGGTTCTAGAACTGCGGTTTGCGACAAAAGACTTACTATTCAATGTCAGTAAAGGGCAACGATCTAAAAATCCCATCTGACATATTAACTACAGCTATTTCCCACTTCATCTTTTTATTTCAGTTATAGTTTTCTGTGGAATTGTCGACTGTTAACGGCCATTATCAACACAAAAATCTAGAGACTCTAGAAATAGTTGCAGTTAATACGTCAGATTCGACTTACTATTAATTGTACTTTTGACCTAGGCAATTAAAATTAAGTTTGAAGAAAGTCGATTGAGCACGGTTGATCGTGGCTTATCTGGAATGGCTGTTAACGATAAGGAATGCTCACATATATGATCGGTGACGAATTCATGTTCTTTTAGATGCAATTTTAGAGCAGAAAAGTCTGCTGTCAACCCACAGTATAGAGCGCCAGCTCGTCTATTTAATGTACAGGATAGAAAAATGAACTAGAAAGTAATTGGTTTTTGGAAATAGTGCAAATAATAATAAAAAAGTTTTTACATTATGCAAAAATCACGAGCATTATTTCTGCAGGTTTAAGATGCGTTGGCGATTTAATTATTTTTCCGTTTGAAAGAGCAAAGTCTGAACTTCGACGAACAAAGAAAATATAATTGAGAAGATAGAATTTATAATTCAGTTTGAGTGAGAAAAAGTATAAATATGAAACGTCGCCGAAAGGGCTGTTGCAACGCACTTTTTCCTTCAGTTTTTCCCTGCAACCTGAGGAGAAAAACTCTTTCGTAAACTAAATAGACGAGAATGTCGCCTGCGCACAACTGTACCGATCCATCTACTGTCGAAAATTTCTCATTAATTCCTTAACAGGAAAACAAACTTATTATAAAACTCAGTTTTGTAGAAAACTCTACCTTACATGAGAAAGGCACGACATTGAGAAAACTTGTTATTCAGGGATGCAGATACGTCAGTAAAAATTTGCTTTTCCAAAAATTGCTCTTTCCAACGGAAAAAAATTTAATGGTCATCGCATCAGGGACATGCAGAAATAATGATAATAATAATTTTACGAAGACTTTTACATCGTATCTTACTTTTAATTTTATTGGTATGAGACAAACCCTTACAAAACTCGTTTAATTATTGAATTCTTCCAATTTGACTTGTAAATGACATTTCTCAGGCCTCTCTGTAAACAGGCAACAAGAGACTTTCCAGCGATATATACTTATATGCGATCATGATAGAAGAAACGAAAAGAAAAGAAACGTAACAACAATTATGCAAATCGTAATTATTATTCCGTTTGAAAGAGCAAAGTCTGAACTTCGACGAACAAAGAAAATATAATTGAGAAGATAGAATTTATAATTCAGCTTGAGTGAGAAAAAGTATAAATATGAAACGTCGCCGAAAGGGCTGTTGCAACGCACTTTTTTGTCAAACGATTTAAATGCTGTTCAAGTGTTTGTGAGAATATTATAACAATATTAATGTACGCAAGACAATAATCCCATGGTGTATTGACTAATAAATCGTACATAATACGTTGAAAAGCAGATGTTGAGTTTTTCAGTCCTTGTGGCATCACGTTTAATTGAAAGATGCCGTAAAATAAAATATTAAAAACAGGTAGCGTGGCTTTTTTTCGAAAAAATTTGTTAGTCAATACAAGATGGGATTATTGTTTTGTGTATATTGATATTGTTATAATATTCTCACAAACACTTGAACAGCATTTAAATCACTTGGAAAAAAGGTGCGTTGCAACAGTCCTTTCGTAGACCTTTCATATTTATTTGAAAGAGCAAAGTCTGAACTTCGACGAACAAAGAAATATAATTGAGAAGATAGAATTTATAATTCAGCTTATGTGAGAGAAAGTATAAATATGAAATGAATAAATATGAAGTTATATCAATTCACGATTGAATTTTAACTGACTTCTGAAACTAAAACTATATCTTCTGATTTACACACAAAAATCGAATATTCTTACCATGATCCTAATCCGTTTGCATAAAATACAAATTTCGGAGGAGTTCAAATCTCTCGGAAATCCTTAAAAGTTTTTAAAAGATCAGATTTTCTCCCAGTGCCTTATTCTGTTTGTTCGATTTCCAATTTCTAGAAAAGAAACAAGGCGATCTATGCTGTCTCTTCC